TTGGCATGGGTCGCGATTCTTGGGCATCGCGACCGCTCTGCGCATCGATGGGAGACGACACGGACACTGCTGCAGAGGACGACGACAATAGTCGGTCGCGGGCAATGTCAATAAAGCGTCGAAGGCGGCGGTGAGGGCACGAGCAACAACAAAGTAACAAAAGCGAGAACAAAGAGCTGAAATGGGCGCGACGCGAGAGGTGCACCGCTTACGTTAGCCACGTGGTACGGGCTCCGTACCGGCGTGTCCGCGACCCCCTTGGCGTCTGGGCGCTCCCGCAACTCTCCCCTTCTCTTCCCCGTCGTCTTCGCCTTATAAGCCTAAGCGAGCCCGTTCACGACCCTCACGACCCCCCACGACATTAACCACATCTCGTCCACCAACCTCCACCAGTCCGAATAGCATGTCTGTCGCCACCGAGATGTCGCGTGCGTCGACGTCCAGGGCGTCGACCTCGTCGACCTCGACCGCCTCGACCGCCTCGATGGCCACCCAGATGGCGACTTCTATCCGCCTTGCCCACCGGCCGCAATCCACGACGCCCCCCTCGCCCACCGTCCGCGTATCCCGCCACCGACCACGCCCGATCCCCAACTCGTACTGGGCCACCCCATACCTGGTCGCGTGCGAGTTCCCCTACTGCCCGCTGACGCCCGACCAGGCGCGCATACACACCAAGCAGAAGCTCGACGCCCTCCTCCTCGCCGGCGTGCGCACCTTCATCGACCTCACCGAGCCGCACGAGCTCTTCCCGTACCACCCGCACCTCACCGAGCGCTGCACCGTCGTCGGCATCGACCCGCGCGACGTCGAGTACCACAACTTCCCCATCCGCGACCGCGACCTGCCCGACTCGGTCGACCTCGTCCGGCGCATCATGGGCGTGCTGCGCGACAACGAGGAGCGCGGCCGCATCTCTGCTGTGCACTGCCGCGGGGGCATCGGCCGCACGGGCCTCATCGTCGGCTGCTGGCTCGTCGAGTGCGGGATCGCCAAGGACGGCGACGACGCGCTCCGCATGATCGCCGAGGAGTGGAAGAACGTCGAGAAGTGCAAGCGGTACCCGCTCAGCCCCGAGACGGGCCCGCAGCACGAGTACGTGCGCACGTTCGAGCGCGCCGCGTGGATCGATGAGAAGCACGAAGTTCTGTGAATGACGGCGGATCGTCGGTGGCTGGTGAGTCGCGTCGTTTGTTCGCGTCGTGCCTTCTCTGACCGGCCCTCCGACGTAGATTCCCTGCACATATCGCTAACTTATATGTCTCCCCATTTCTTCACATCAGTCTCTTGGGTAGACTCGGCACGGACCCCTTGCACATACCATTTTCTGCTTCTGCTCCTGCTCCCCTGTCTCGCCCTTGTCTTCTCACTATTCCCCCCATCTGTCTCCCTTCTGTAGCACCTTCTGTTCCAGTCTCTCTGCACGCTCATCTCGTCTCTGTCTCGCGCATAGGCACATTGGCATAGACGTACGCTACGCATCTTTCCCCATGATATCTCATCGTACATCAGTATATTCATGTCCTGTACAGTGCACTGGCTAATGCATAAGTACGCAACGATTACACGGAGCTCCGGACGAGTCATGTTTACAGGCTGCGATTCGGAGGTCGTTCCGACCCCCGGTGGGCGCTCCGAAAGGTGTATGCTTTATCCTTGACTTCCACTTGCTTCACTCGGATTTCGCCAATTGCGTGTGGCAAGCGTATGAACTTTCATTGACATCGCTCGCTAGAGCGAACATCCAAAATACGTCCACGGTACGACCAGACTTTCTCGCCGTCATAAGACCACTATCGAGGGGCCAGGGCACGATGGTGTCGAGGCGCGGTCGTCTCATACTTATCGCCTGTTTCCGAGCACCGACCTTCAGCAAAACTAACGACGTCCGTTTTCGGAGAGGAGCTCGCCGACGGCGACGTGCAACTCTTCATTGCCGTTAGGGGGCAGTTGCGAGGGTGGGGCAGGAGGGCAGGCAGGTAGGAACATTCCGGCCCTTACGAACACGGGTTTGGTACATTCGGTCTTCTTGGGATCTAAAAGCCGCGTGCGGAGAATGCTGAGAACAACGTCGTTGCCATAGTTGTCCTGCGCAAGACCGGAGACCTCGAGCAACCGTACAGAATTTTGAGCTGGAAACAATCGAAGATCGTTATGCATAAGACGCCTCCGGCCAGGGATTTCTCTTACCAGTTGCTTCACGCTTTGAACTCTCGGCAACTCCGGTTTTCGGACGGCCTCCGGATTTGGCACAACACCGTACAGGTACAATCTGTGCCATGGGGCCAAAACCCCTGGACCTACAAAAACAATGATATGTAACCCCGATGACTGCAGCGTTGTGGGTAATTCGACTGGGCCAATGGCACAGTGCCGCACACAATAATGGTTGAACGTTAAACAGCTGTGTTCAGTGAAATCCAGATCACCTCCGGGATCCTCCGCGCGTACTCAAGGTCGTCGTTAGTGGTGCGGAGAGCTGCGCTTCTTTGCTTGTCAACATGGTGCGCACTGCACGACCTGGTGGTGGTGAGGGTCGTGGCGAGTGAGGATCGAGGATCAATCGTCTTCGGCGCAATGGCGCTTCGTTCTGTTTGTACTTAGTAGTCGCTCTCAGCTGTAGGTCTCACATTCTGGGCTCGGTTCCTAGTGATTGTCGCGTGAAGGCATCTTGCGTCACGCAGTCAGCGCTGATGCCCACGGGCACGTACTCGTACATTCAGTGGGTATGTGATTAGGATGTGCCCAGACAATACACAGCGAGCGAACACGCGAAGATAGTGAGAACAGCGATAGCCACAGACTCAGTGGTACAAAACCCCAAGGACGCCTACAAGAACAGCCATGGTCAGCGAAGTCGCCCACGCACTCGCACCGGCACGAGCCGCGCCGCTGCTGTATGCCCACTGCGGACCTTGGGTCATCGGGGGCGGGATGCCATCTAACGTATGCATCTCGATAGGCGTGGCGTATGGAGCCGGCTCCGAGGTCGCTGTGCTCAACACATTCATCAGCCACAGTGCAGGCAACGTGACGGAGAAAACATACATGGGAAGACGCCGCCATGGTACACCGCCGACGCGACTGCCTTCTCGAGGGCAGTCCCGGCGTCGGACGGCACGGTCGACAACAGCCCCACTCGCGGCGGGTCTTGAGACGGGTGCGTCATGTTGCCGTAGGAGAACGCGACCAGCGCGCTACGAAGCATCAGTGCTCCTGCGTGCAGGTGTCCGCCCTGCGCACTCACGACTTCAAGAACGGGTCGCCGAGGCTCCAGCTGTACATGAAGCCACCTGCTCCGGGCGGATCAGTAGCAGCCAGCGCAGGACTGCACCGCGCGACCTCGTTGGGGTACACTGTGCCGGGTCGAACGGCGGCCGGCTGGGCGAAGTCGCGTGGATCGACCGGGAACTGAACGCCGCCGATCTGGAAAGATAGGTTGTGCGGAATCGAGCAGTCGAAGGAGTCGCCGATAAGCGCATAGATGTGTCCGACAATGTCTTGCGGCCCGCGGATGAGAGAGTTGCCCTACGGATGCCGTCAGGCATAGAGAGAGCACTGTGATGAGAGTATACACACCGTATCCACTAGCGCAGAGAGCGAAATTGATCGCGGAGACAGTGCTGAACGGGGAAGCTTTACGCCATCGAAGTACACGTCGTCCACAGGTATCTCCCAGACCAGCGGATAGACCTGATCACCCAGTGTCAGAAGAAAACCTTCGAACGCGAATAGTGTCTGTCACCTCGTTCGGAGCCTGCGGGGATGGAGGAAGACCGCCTTCGGATGCCCTGTAGCCTCTAACCGGGACCCAGGTGAGGTCGTCGTCTGTCAGATCGTAAGGAAAGGCGCCTAGTGATAGAGTGCCAGCGTTGCCGCCGAGGGAGACTGTGTCGCGCTGAAGAGCAGTCACCACCAAGGGCCGCGAGAGGATATTCAGGGCGGCAAGTCGAGTGAAGAGAGGACCTATAGTCGAGAACGAATCGATAGCTGATGTGTACGGTGTCGAGCCGTCTTGGCGCTTCCGCGAGCTCGAAGTCGAGTTGAGGAACTCGAAGGATGGGAAAGCGTCCGTGCGACGCTCAGGTCCCAGACGGACATCGCGCTTCGTGTGGGTCGGAACGGGGCCATTGAGGTCCAAGGCTAGAAGTTGCCTCCAGATGACGCTGATAGGAGGAAAGCCAAGTCCGAGAATCCCAGAAGAGCCAGTCTCGAGCACCGATGTATTCGTGTCGACGATCGCGGCGAAGCACTGATCAGGGATCGAGAGGCCAGCCACGCCGACAGTGTCTGTGCCGATGGGACCGCTTGCGTGTGTCCCCGTGCGAGAGTCGCCATAGAGCAGGTCGACGTCTTGACCGACAGGCGAGAGAGAGCGTTGGGGATAGAGCGCGACGTCGTGTGCGGAGCATTGGTGGCATCCGTCGGAGACCGTCCACAGGTCCGCGGAGCCCGTGTCTTCGGGAGCTCTGCTCAGGCTGGAATGCAGCTGAGATTGAGTGAGAACGTACCGATGATGAGCGGAACCAATGTGCCCCCGACCCCTACGAGAACGGTGTACGTGCTGGCCGATATTCCGTTGATTGTGAGTCTAGCAGGACGTACAAGAGAAGTACCAACGTGTCGAGAACGTCGCCCAAGCCCGTATCAAAGATGTCCCCATCCCGTTTCCATCGCCCTCGCCTTGTGCGCTGTATGGGAAGATGTAAGCCCCCGCCGCCGTCTTCTCGATTGGTGGGTTGCCGAGCAAACACAGCTGTCCAGGACGAGACGACTGCAACTACGAGCGACGCAGCAGTCGCAGACCACCTAGTACGCAACATCACGCAAAAGATGGATACAACCGAGACACAGACGGCAGAGGACGGCAGAGGAGGAGGAGGAGGAGGAGGAGGAGGAGGAGGAGGAGGAGGATGGTTAAACAGAACGAGAAAGCGCCGCTTAAGAGACTCAGAGCCATTGATGGGTGTGAAGACGGTCCAATGGGCTTAGCTAGTATGTGCCCCATGGCTGAGTTGGTTACAGCGTCCGACTGTTACCCGCTAGAGCAATCGGAAGGTCGTGAGTTCGAGCCTCACTGGGGCAGAAATTTTGCCCCCCGCACCCACCCCTTTGCGGCGTGCGGAGAAGCTTTTTATCTACTATGATCATTACAGTATAGGTTCGACTCAAACCCCTCGCACGATAACATACACATGGAGGGTATTGCTATGAGACTATATTGATCTATATCATCGTCACATCACGGCCACACATTCTCAGTCCCGGATGGAAAGGCGGCCGTTCGTCTGGGACAATTGCAGAAGCAGAGCGATGTTGCTCAGATTGTGTACTACTGATGTCATTATGCACAATAAGTCAGGTCAATAATGATGTTCTACTTCTAAGCAGAATCCGCGCGAAAAAGAAAGCAAAAGAGCGAAGCGGGAAGTGACATGACGTCGTAGCTAGGGCCCAACTATGTAGCCGGCGGAAAGAGAGGAAGATGGAAATGCAGATGCAAAAGCAATGATAAATAAAGCGAAAGAGAACAACATGAACAGTCCAACGACAACGACGAGCCATCTGACTACATGTACGATCCATGCCGGGTAATAGTAGCAAACACACGCACTAATATGTCACACAGAGCTCAAACAACACGACGGAGAGGGCGGACATGACGGAGATGGGGGCGAATATGAGAGCAGAGAGGACACGAGCGCAGGCTATAGCGCGTGTGGACCGGAGTACGAGTATGTGCTACTCCGCCATGACTCCTCCTGTTGATGCTGCGTCTGCGGCGTGGCGGTGTGCGGTTCGTAGCCGTCATAAGCTTGCTCATATGCATCATCGTACTCGTGCGCGGTGGCATACGAGTCCTCTGTCGCCATAGGTGTATGGACGGCCTGCGCCGACGTCGGTTGTCCCTGAAGATGTGCATTCCACTGGTCGGACGGCGGCGTCCGTACGTGCATCTCGAACTGCTCCGCTGGCACAGTCGGCGACGGGGTACGCTGCTGTTGTTGGCGCAACCCGGGTACTTGCAGCGTCGCAGAAGGGGGTGGTGTGAAATGATTCGAATCAGATGGCGGATGGCCATAGGAGACGGTCGAGAGTGACACTGCGGACATGGGAGGCTCTGTGCCGTACGCAGTTGTACTTCGTGCAGTGGAATCGCGGGTATAGCTATGGTATCGGTTCGGCTCTGGTAGAGGCGACGGTGCTGGGATATTAGAAGCAGAGTAATAGGACATCCGCTGCATGGAAGGGCTGACGGTGCGCTCGTTTCGTTGCGACGGTGGAGACGAGGAGGCGGGTGATCTTCTGTTATCGTAGAGGCCCTCTTCGAGCTTCTCCGGTCTTGGAGACTCTCCTGCCATCAAAGGAGCGGTCGGTCGCGGTGACCCATCTGAGGCAGGTGTGTGAGGCATAGGAGGCGTGTAGCCCATTGGTGTCCCGTAATCCTCGTCAGCGTGGCTGATCTCCGATTCTGAACGGATATGCGGCTGGTGGAAGATGGGCGCTTCCTCGACCTTCCTTCGTTTGCGGTCCCTCCTGTGATTGATGCCTAAACGGTCCTTCAGGTCCCCGAGCACCCACATCTCGCGCACAATGTCCTTGTCCAGCGGCTGATAGGCAGACTTGAAGAACTTCACTATGAACCGCGGGCCTGCACATGATGATCAGAGAATGGGACGTTGATAATACAGAACAAACTCACCAAGAGCGATGACCACAGACAACAGCAGCGCCGTCCAGAAGGTGAGCTCACCGAAGAGGATCACCACCTCGTCGACAAAGTCGATAGACTCGAATAGCGAGTAGATCGCGATCCACGCCATCATGACGACAGACGAGCCGATGACAATGATCCACGTAATGACCGTCCAGCTGCCAGTACATCAGCACCCGTTCCAGTAATGGTAAAGAAAAGGGACACTTACTAATGAGTGTTGATACCGACGTAGGTATTGGCGCAGATGATGGCGGCGACGGACACGGTGGTACCGAAGTCGGCGAGCGACTCAATCGTCTTGCCGTTCCAAGAGATGGCGAGGCCACGCGTCCAGATGAAGTAAGGAATGAAGAACACGACGGCGGACTGGTAGAGACCGTCGAGCATGTACATCCAGAACTTGAGTCTCGTGTACTCAAGGCCACGGATACCACGAATATACAGTTGCGGGAAGGCGAGTGCAGCCTTGGCATTGATGTCCTGGTCAAAGGCTATATTCCACGTATTAGATAGACTCAGTTAGGACAGGAAATTCGAGGACTCACCTCCAAGGGCGATGACGGGCAATGAAGTGAAGACAAGATTGTACAGCAAGATGAACGTATACTGGTAGAGGTATGTTGCGTCGAAGCTATTGAAGATCATGAACCAGAACATGGCGAATGTCCAAATGACGTTCTTCGGTGACGATGTCAGTACATCACCATATGCGGTGGGTTGGTAGAACATACCTTGTAGAAGAAGTTCGCATGCATGTCCGCCACACGCTGGTATGACCAACGACCATGGACGAGCAGCAGCTTCGTCAGGAAGCGGAACTGGCCGAACGCATAGTCCGCGGACATCGCCGCCTGCGAACCTTCGTGCCCGAGAAGACCGCAGCCAATGTTCGCCTCTTGGATCATCGCGACGTCGTTGGCACCGTCGCCAATGGACAGAGTCATGGCGTTCCGTCCTTCCTTGACCTAAGAAGCGCGGTGAACCTCTGCGATCACATAGGCCACAAAGCTAACTCACCAGCTTCACGACCATCGCCTTCTGGGCCGGAGACACACGACAGCAGACAACGGTCTCGCACTGCGTCGACAGCGTGAGGAATAGCTGCTTCAGATTCGAGTTCAAGGCATGTCGCAGGGTGTCACCGTCGATGACGACAGCGAACGCAGCTTGAGCACCGGGGACGAATCCGCGGCGATTGGGATCCATGGACGGCGGCCCGAGCACAGACGCGATCTTGTTCAGTCCACCCTCAATCTGCAGCCGTGCCGCCTCGTGCGTGTCCGCAGACAGGATCATGATCTCCATGTCGCTCTTGAGCAAATTGCAGCTGAAACCTGTGATTGTCCCAGTCAGCGTTAGGTATGGGACCCTCGCCTGTCTAGTCGTGAAGCCTCGACGTACCAATCTCGATAGCCGTCTGCACCTTGTCACCTAAGTAGCCGGACCGATGAGCAACATCCCGACAACTCGACGCCACATACCGACGTACCTGTCAAGATCCACAATTTGATGCCTGCCTTGTGCAACGTCTCAATAGCCTCCGGGACACCCTCCTGCAGCTTGTCCTCGAGGGCAGTCGCACCCAAGATCCGCAGCGAATGCTCGATCAGGTCGTTCGCCTTATCAACCTCCTCATCCCGGTCCTTTATAGAGTTTGTCGCAGCTTCGTACGTGCGGACCCAGTCAATGTACTCCTGTTCCGTGAGGTACCGATACGCGATACACAGCGTGCGAAGACCCCCGTTGGCGAACGCCTCCATGTCTCGCGCGGTGCTCGCCTTGAGCTCCGGGTCGTGATCCGCTGCGAGACGCTCGTAGATGACGCTGTCCGCGCCCTTACAGTACAGAACGAGCTGGCCCTGCGGGTTGCGCACGATGACACTCATCCGCTTCCGTGTCGAGTTGAACTCCAGCAACTGTAAGGGAGTGTAGCGCTCCGGCTGGCCCATCACCTCGATGTCGATCGCGTCCTTGGACTTCTTCACGAAAGGAAATCCGACGTCGCGGGCGGCAGCGACGAGGGCGGCCTCGTCCGGAGACTCCGCCTTGTATTCGAGGCGATACGGCTCCTTGTTCGGGTTGGGACACTCCGATAGAACGCTGTGGCATACGGCAAGCGCGCGGAAAAATTCGATGAGGTGCTGCCGTTGGGGTCCATTGCGGTCGGCGAGGTCGTCGGCGAGTCTTGGCGAGACGAGCGTGAGATGGTCCGGCTGCGCGTAGCGGTTCTTGAACGTCTGCGACATCTTGTCGAGCATGCGCTGCTTCAGGATGTGGAGCTGCACGTCTTGCTCGTGTGGATCCAGAGCGTCGACGTTCCCTGTTCGCTTGGCCGCCCCTCGCTGTGCCTCCGTTACGCCCTCGCCGTACGCGACGCCATTGACTGAGCACTTCTGGAACTCCATGACGTTCTGCGTCAGCGTGCCCGTCTTGTCCGAGAAGATGTACTCGATCTGGCCCAGGTCGTCGGAGATGTTCCAGGTCTTGGGCGTACAAGCGGCATCGAAGGGCTCGTAGTACATGTCCACATCTTGCGAAATGAAGAATGCCTGTATCGTCTTGACGATCTCAATGGAGATGTACAGCGAGATCGGGACGATGTTCTGGAAAGCGATGAGGCAGGATCTGCAGTAGTTGTCAGCAATGCAGTTATGAGTTATACGACCCAACACAGTACGCACGTGAAGGTAACGAGTGCATTGAGGGCGGATGAGTCGGATGGCTCCGCTCCAATCTCGAAGTACTTGGCACTCGTGTCGCCCTTGCCGTCTAGCCACCCGTTGAGGATACCCGAGGTGACACACATGAGGATCAGGACGACAAAGTTGACGACGACGTTGAAGTTTGTCTCCTTCTCGATCTTCGACCGCTTCGAGGGTGTGTCTCCACCGTTCATCATGATCTTCGAGTCCGCGCCCGTGAAGACCACAAGACCGATGGCCCATGCCGTATTCCGGATAGTACAGCCGCGAAGTAGAAGCTCGTTGATCGTGACCGACTCCTGCTTCTGGTCGCCCGACGCCGGGTCCTTGTAGCGCAGAATGCCGTGGTACAGGTACAGGTTCGCGTGCGGAGGCTCGGAGTCCAATACGAACGACGCCCGCTCGATGTCCTCTTCGGACTGGATGGACGCAGTCGCTCGGACCGACTTGCGCGGCTTCAGGTTCGTCTCCCCGTCCAAATTCTTCGTCTCCAGGTAACACATGTTGTCGGGGTCAGAAGACGAGAGAACGACGACGTCCGCGGGGACCTGTTCGTTCTCGCGCAGCAGCACGATGTCGCCGACCTCGAGCTTCTTCCACAGCGTCCGCTCCCACCGCGCAAGCCCGGCCGTCCGCTTACTGTAGTCCACGACGCCAGTTGAGGGG